CAGACCCGTCCAGTCCAACCATATCTAGTGCTGATGAGTGCTGCATCGATGGTTACTCCTCAGCAGCCGAAATGGGTATCAATAGTAAAGTGGCTGAGGGCGTGCAGGTTGAGGAGGCGTATGAGGCACAGTATGCCTCGGTGGAGGGTGATGACTTATGCGTATCCGAACCTAAGTATGTAGTCTGTCATGAATTCATTGGACAAGATGATAGGGAGGTAAGATGAGGGGCTTGTGTGGGGTCAGGCAGCGAGCCTGGTATCTAAGGTTGGAGAGCGTTGGATACGGATGAGGTCCGGATAGGTGTTCGTTCTTAGATGTCAGTGGTTCGTGGAGAGCTGGTGCGAATGAGGAGGGAGTCATCGAATGGATGGGCACTTGTATTTTGTGGCGCGCGGTCATGATCTCAGCACACCCTGTCTACTTAGGTCCGCCGATATCGGGGAGATATACCGTACACCTGGGGATGGGTACCTCGAGGCATTCTTGGGCCCATATCGGGGAAGGCTCGCTGACGATCGTTTGCCCCTTAATTCACATATGGTGGAGGAATAGGTTACTGGAGTACTGCGACTATGCGCATGCGTGCAGAAGTCGTACCAAAACTCCGCCAACTCCCGACTTAGACTTTCGTATATTGATTTCAGACCTAGATTAGATGTCGCAGTAGTGACTATAAGTACTTCCTAGTCTCTATCACTACGTACGAGCCCTTCCGGTCTCCGGGGGTATCATCGTTCGCATATGCGATGCCACTATTATCCTGCTGATCCGTCTTGTGTTGGGACTATGGTAGACATGGTAGCAGGTTTGGAGAGCATGGGATCACTTCTACTCGGATATTGTGTGTTGATAGAAAATACTCTCGGTTTAGCACACATCATCATGGTGGAGGTTTCGGCTAGGCGTAGTCACCATAGTGAGAAGGCTGAAAGAAATCCATATAGGGGAGGGTTGTGTTTGCACTGTGCTGTCCTATGTAGTACTATCTATCATATGAGTGTAGGGCGAGTGATAGTGGAGAGGTAGCCTTACATCGATCGGTAGAGGCAGGTGGGTATGGGGTAATGAAGTGGCTATCCATGGAGCGGTATCTTGAGTGTCTTTTAGTGTGTTCTATTGGCCTTTCTACTATATAACATGTCAGAAGCTGAGAAGGCGTACCTAGCATCCTAGGAGCTCATCTATGATGACTTCCTAGTCGTTTACCTCAGTATGTGTGCTGTATGACCTTCCTCAAACAGTGTTGCGTTGATGGTTGCTGTCGACATCGGCGTGTTGGTCTGTAATAGGAGTGTGTTAGTCTGAGGTCATGCCAAGCGCCGTTAGGCTCTCGACTCAGCAAGTGGCTGCAATGATAGCTAGTAGAACACCGAAGTGGACGCAGGTAAGGAGTGTTGGTTTATAGACTAGGTTATGCACAAGGAGCATGCGTTATACGAGATCTCGTTATGCAATCTTCAACAATATTCTCACCGGGGTTAGAATTCGAGGCAATACGTGTTTGGAGTGCCTTTTGAGAGTGCTTTGGAATGTTGTGCTGAAGGGGAGTAGAGTAGTTGATGAGTGATAATAGCGTCGCAGTAAAGTAAGTTTCGAAGGACGAGTAGTGGGAGGAGATCATAGGCGGTGCAGGTCGTATCAGATTGATGGTAGGATGCCGTTGGTGTAGGTAGGGGCAGCTGAGAAGATCAGCCGTAATTTCCAGTTCCGTAACTTCAATGAAGCCTTTGGTTTTATGACTAGAGTAGCCCTCTATGCTGAGAAGGTAGGGTTGGTGATAGCGTTATAGTCTATGGTCAACAACAGGCCGACCATCACCCCAACTGGTATAATGTCTATAACAAGGTGGATGTAGAGCTATCGACCCACGATGCTGGAGGGGTCACTGAGAAGGTAGGGGAGTCTTGCTTTCGTCGTGGTATGGCATGTTGATTTTTTCAGGATTTTTCTCTTGCTGAGAAGATGGACAAGATTGCTGCCACGATGGCGTCTTAGAATCGCGTTGGTGACATGACAGAATTTTTCCAACAGGATTGTTTCTCAGCCTTTCTGTGTTGAGTTGTAGTCAAATTATTTTTCGGCACTGTGAGCTCCCCGAAGAGGCGCTTGAGTTCTCATCATTGCATTTCATGGTGGCTCTTTCTCCTAGGCTGCTAACGCGTCGTGGAGGGACTGGGATCAGTAGCAGTAGACTGGCAGGTAGTGCTAATGCTCGGCAGTAGCTTGGGTACTTGTCCGTCTTAGTCACTCGTGCTGCTGCTTTTGGCTCCTCTTCGGCCTTTGATAACGTCTTTGATGAGCCTCCGGGGGATATGGACGAATACGGTGAGGTCGGCCGAGGCCCAGCAGTGACTTCCGAGATAATAATGCGTGATAGAGCGGCAGGTTGGTCACAGCTCCGATGAGTTTAAGTCTTTGAGGCTCCTTGCAGTTTGAGAAGGCTTATCACTTGGGGG